CCAAAATGCAGTTGCATGTTTTGAAGCACAGTAGTATGCTGTTGTGTCTTTGTGAATGCATGTACTTTATGATCTCATGAGAAATCACAGATTCGTATACTCATATAACTAAATCAAAACCAGACTGATCTGATTGCATCCATGAGAAATACATAAGGTGATTAATCTGGAAACATTAAGTTAGCTCTGCTTTTAGTACTTCATATGAAAATCTCTGCTGTGAAGCAAATCTGCTTTAACAGATACTAATGCCTCCTGAAGTTAACCAGCCAGGTGAGAACTCATGCTGTGATGCTAGCTTTACACCTATATGTCACGAGCCAAATTCATGATCCATCTTAAAAACTGTCGCTCACTTTGCACGTGATGCCACAAGATGTTCAGTGAAGTCAAATAGCATTAACTAAGGAGAAAAAAACCTGAGCAATAAGCAGCTGCAATGTGTTTCTTTCTAAGATATACTAGAAACATGGGATACAGATTTAGGTAGTTGGCAAGAGGATAAACTATGCATGGTATTTTATAGACAATTGCTTTTTACTTACCAACAGTTCTTTGCTGAGAATCAGAAGTTCATACAAAAACATTAACTCAATCCTGCTCTTGAAAATCAAATAAACAATTTTTCATGATAATTTCTAGGGAATTAAACCAAATCTTCAGTGTTAGAGGTCAATATTCAGAGATTTCTAATGTAGTCAGGTGACTGGATTAGATTTTCCCTAGAATTTGTGGCATCATTTAAGCCCAAGCCCACTGATATCTCATCTGAATTTTTCCCCATGGCATTCTGAACCTGAATCCATTTTTATGAAATGCTACTGACTGTCAAGGATGAGTCAAATATACCTAAGGTAGAAATGCTCTTAGCAAAGCCAGCATTTAATTAAGCATGGCCTCAAACAAAACAGAAAAGAAAACAGAAAAGAAAACAAGTAGAAATTTTGAAGAACAGAGTAAGCATTCAATCTAATCCAGTAAAGTACTAATGTACAATATGAAAAATGTCCTAAAAGTTTGCATGCAAACATATGTTGTTGAAGTGCAAAGTTTGTAAGATGAACCTGCAGAATAGATGGAATTTTTTTTTTTCTTTAATCCCCGTGTGGGATAGAAAGTCCTGAGCAATGACAAACACGATTCAGTTTGCTCTGAAGTGCTTTTATGGCACCAACTTGGCTTGTTTCTGGAACAAACAAACACTAAAAGATGTGATAGCTATAGAAATCATCAAATGGCTTGACATTTCTAAAGGCAAGTTTACGTCACGTGTAGTTGTATGCCCTGATGTAGAGGAACAGAAGTAAATATTTGATGAAAGGAGAGCGAACATGGCTGGAGCTGGGTCATGTTCACTGGCTGTCAGAACACCCTTTCCTCCCTCTAAGACATGGCAAATGAGCATAAATCTGAGTTATCCTGGGAGCCCTCTAGGTTCTGCTGGGATACAGATATATTTTGTGCCAAACAGACCATCAGTCATAAAGCTGGTGGTTTGATATGGGACAGAATGTGTGATTACAGGGAAGAGAGACTGCTTTGGATAGGCAAAGTTGAAGAAAATACCCCTTCTAATACTTTCAAAAGCAGTATAATTTTTAGTAGTACAATTTCTTACCCAAAAAGAAAAGTTAGTTGGCCACAAGGGATTGGTTTGGATTTTTTATGAATTAAGTAAAAATGTGAAGAATCAGAGAAAGGGAAATTAATTACATGAAAGACACATCCACATCTCCTTCTTTGATGCTGAAGTCAGTTCAGGAAATCTTCAGTGGTTTTGCTGAGTGTAGAGCCAAAGTCTGTGGATCACTGAGGATACAGGGAGTCCCTAGGTCACTATAAATTGTAGATCCCTGCACCGATGCAAATACAGTTCCATTCACACATCTGTGTTTTATTAGGTCAATACTGGTTGCCAAAATAAGTATTATCATTCCCACCAATAAATAAATAATATTCTTAAGACTTTTCTTAAACTTAATTTTATTGACACAGGCAGCCCTTTTTCTACAGAACAAAAAAACAAAAGTTAGGCACAATGTTTTTAGGTATAGAACACAAGTTTTTTGATGGTGTAGTAATACGGTTTCCAGAAACTATCTTTTACAGCTGCACCAGAATCTTACTAATCCATCCTAATAAAAAACAGTCCCATTTGTGAGTTATATGTTGTCTATATGAGGAAATGAATGCACTGTGCATTAGCATGTGAATTAAAAGTATACTTGCTACTCATCACTAATTCCTTGTATGGATGTGCTGAAATCTAGATTCATCCTTCTAATTTTGGGCATATAATTGAAGAATCTAAGTTAGGAGCTTCAGCATCCTACAGTTTTTCCACTGTCAGTGAAGAATCCATTTGAGATATCACTTTTGCTCTAGAAGAGTCTCTCTTTAACTGTCACCTGCATAAGGTAACAAAATTAAACTAAATTCTTCAAATTCAATACCAAAAATCAGATAACTTTTATGCTGCTGTAAAAGAACAATGAAGTAGTGATCCAAATCTATGCAAAGATGCATCTTGCATAGATGTTTGCCTGGATCCGTAATTGTTCCCTTTGTCCCCATACTGGCAAAGAACAGGAATTTGGTACTGTCACTGCTGTTATATCAGCTCTCTATATAAAGAAGAGTTCTATCTTTAGGGCTATAGAATCAATACATTTCTTCACAATCTTTACAGTATTCTAATGGAAAAGAAAAAGTATAAATAATGAAAATATCATCCTCAGGCCCTTTCCCTCTCTCACTCCCACTCCAGAGTATATTAATATGTTCTGTCTCAGCTTTAACATTTCCTGCTACACTCAGAGAAATTTAAACAAAATCACTTTCACAAACATTTAAATGAAAAAAGTATGGAGTTTTGTCATTTCCCTTCTGGTGCAGCACTAATTAACAAAGCCTTTTTGTGAAAGCAAAAAGCTTTCCTTTTTTAGAACTGGCACAATCCTCCTTACTGATTCTCAACAGTGGTGGCACAGTCCAGTATTTTTTTGAACAATGATGAGAACAGAAATAGATGGAATTCAATAGAAGCATGAATAATGGCAACCAGAAATGGAGTGGTGACATAATCTGTCTTCCAAACTGCCTTGAGATATGAACAAGAAAACACTAGATTGTAACTTGTATGTTGTGATTGCCTATGATAGGTATCACCAAATAACTTCAAGACAGATTTATCTACTCCGATCAGCCATTTAAATATTTTTAATGAAAGCTGTGCTTACACATATATGTCATATGTCTTCAGCTTCAGCATCGTAATGATGCTAATTCAGCTGGTTAGTTTCTCTCATGCTTGAAAGAAGTGGAGATTCTACAGCACTCTGCATATGTTGTTTTTTAAAAACACTTGGGAAGGATATGCCAGGTGAAGAACACATAGAACAAACACTTGCACAATGGCAAGGGAAATGTAAGGCTCAGTGAGTATAAAAATGCATGAATATGTAGACAAATACAAGAAAAAGCCTGGATGAGGTGTAAGTCTATTATAGTTTGAAATTGAAAGAGTCATATGAATTCATAATCAACGCAATGAGCTCTGTTTCCAGCTGATGCTTCATTATGTTTCCAACACCAAGCTGCAAGGACGTTTTCTCCGTACTATATTAGGGTATCAGAAAGATGAATGCATTTTTAAAAGTGGCATATTTTTGAAGGTTTTTTTTTTTTTTTTTTTTAATTGAAAACCTTATAATTCATTAACTGTAAGACCATCTAACAGAGTGAAGATGCAAAGCATTCATATATTGATTGAATTTACAGTCCTCGAAGAGATATGACCCATTACAATTTGCTTATTATTATAGCTTTTGGGGGAACGAGATTTAAGGCTGTTAAAGCTGTGCCATGACTTATCACAGCCTTCTGTTTCCATTTGTTTGTGACTTTCTGAAAGAGTCTTTTTTTGGGCTGAGACCTCTATAATTGGTCTCAGCACAATGGAACTCCTCCTTGCTCATCCCTCTTCCCTTCCCATCCCCCTGCCTTCAATCTGTTCAGCATTTTTGTCTTAGTGGTGAGTGGAAAAAATAGCACTTACTAAAGATTTTTTTTATTATTTTTTTTATTTTTTGCTTCACTATGATTCAAAAGCTGTCTAAAAAGAAACCAAGAGAATTTTTATTTGGCACAGTGAACAACACAAGCTGCCCAGTTTAAAGGTGCAATGGAAGTGTTGCTTTTGAAGGCTGCTGGCAAAGTGCCTTAGGAGGCATTTTAGTTATCTTTGCCACAGGTAGGTAAAATTCTTGCTGCTACTTCCTGTGAGCTGACATAATGCCATACCCACTAGGACACTTCCCCTTGCAATTGCCAAAAAGTAATTACTGAAAGCACACAAAAGCCAATACAAGATTAAGTAGAGCACAGTAGAAGAAAAGGTGGTTTGGGGGCTGCTGCAATGGTCTGCAAACTCTCTAAGACTTCTCTCTGTGCTTTCAGATAGACCAGTACACTGTCTATCTTCTCATCTCCATCTCATTTACATGCAGAAAGGAGCAGTTTACCTGTCCTTCTTCATCTCCTTTTCTTCTTCCTGTTGTTTCCTTCTGATCTCTTTCCCCTTTTTCTCTACCTTTTTGTGAGATTTGCTAGCTGGATTTAGTCTTTTTCATTTGCAAGCCCAGTCCATTTGGTTTTGTTCTGCTGCTGGTGTCAGTTCACTAGAGGTTACACACTGCTGGTAATAACGCACCCTCAGAGAACTGTGAGGCTCCATTGTGTTGACAAAAAAGGCAACTGTAAAAGAGAGCTCAAAACCCTGCCAAAATTAAAGCCACATTCCAACCCTGCAGATCTAGTATAGGATTCTGTATCAGCAGTCTGCCTATCAGAAGTCTGTTTCCAGCTCTATCAATAACATTTTTTGTGTGCCAGTAAACTTTTCCTAACCTTTGCCTGCAAAAACTGGAATTTATCTGAAATGGAAAAATTATATGCAAGTGCATAGTTTAGGACAAGAAGAAAGTACTCTTAGTTGGGATACATAGACATGATTTAATTGACTGTAGTCATTGTAATATTTGATGTACATTAAAACATGCAGATTTGCTCCCATTTTTCCTTCTCTGGAGTTTTCAGAAGTCATCTGGCCAAAGATGGGCATTGTGGCCTCCTTGCACGCCATGTTCACATCAGTGGAACTCACTGATTTCACTCACATTGCTCATCTGCTAGATGAGATCAAGGGGAGAAATAATCACAAAGAATCAGTACTCTGTCGCTTGCACTTGATTAAATATACTGACACTATCATTAATCAAAGTTGTGTTTAATTGCATCTTCACTGTGAAATATATGATTAATGCTACTGATACCAGAAGAACAACACTCTGTTATCTTGCAACTACTTTGTCTTCTTTAAAACAAATACCAATTTGCATGTGCGGGTATACATAAGTGACTGAGCAGATGTTTATCTGGTTTTATGTATTTATCCATAGTATCCATAATACATATTTGCTTGTCTATGTCTAAGGATGCCAAAGGAAATAACTGCCCAAGTACTCTTGTAATTTGCATATGCCAGCCACTAGTGGATGCTTTTAGAGCAGCTTGTCATACCACTCACTGCCACCCAAAGGAAGAGTGAGGCTGCTGAATGACAGAACTCTGCAGAAGGAACAGGAAGACATTCAGCATTAGAGATCTCCTCTTGTCTGAAGACACAAAACATGGGTGTGATGGAAACAGCATATTTGGCATGACATTGATTTATGGGGTGCAATGTATTCCTTCTGCATACCAAACTCCAAATGCAGGCTGGTGTGGAGATCCCCCGGAGAGCCTGCTCAGTCCAAAAGGATGAGGGATAAAGAAGTCTCTGTAAACACCTGTTTCTCTATTTTTCCCTTTTCCATCTGCACTGGAAATAATATAGCCCAATTTCTCTAAAAAAAGTAAAAATTCAAGCCATAAGGAATGGCTTTAACAAACAAATTGCATTCCTAGCTGTTCTCTGATGGGCTTTTGAGTTTCAAGACTTTGTCATTCTGGTCTCTGTGTACACTGCATACACTGCTTTTCTCTGCAGGAACTGACAGAATTCATCTTGATTACTGAAAACAGATGTTTGTAGCATGTGCTACATGTCTGCGTTGCATGAAAAATTGTGGAGAGAAATGCAAGTTTCATCGCATGTAGACTTATGGGTCTCCACTAGAGGGAGATAGGTAGAAAGCAGGAAAATCATTCTGTCACCTAAAAAGACGACAGCAGCAAGATCCTATTTTTCCTTAAACAATTGTTTTTAGGTACATTGCTATTTTGACATTAAGTAACTAGAATCCACTTATGCCTGATTGTCAAGCTCTTCACAAATATATGCAGGAATGTATGGATTTCAGTTATTTCAAAATTGTCTTCTGTGAGATAGACATAACATTTTAAAACTAGAGCTGGTGATCTTACTAGGACTTCTTGTTTAGCTTTTCGTTTTGCACTTTTAGTCTATGCATCTTGCAATTGCAAATTGGACTCTATGGATTTACATGTTTTTCTGATGTCCATACAGGAATATCCTTCACTCCTAAAAGTAGTGGTGCTGGACTTCTCTACGATGACTGTTAGTTAACCGTGATACCATAATTCTGCATTATCTACACCCAGAAACAGCAAAGCAAAGATGAAATACCAACAACATAGAGCTGTGACATTGAACCAATCAAGATAAAAGGGTGAGAACACACTACATGTATCATACAAGAGACCACTATATAAAGAGACCATTTTATTTTAATCTGAAGAGTTTGTACAATTCGAGTTGATCCCATGATAACTTGCATGTAGCATAAAAGATTTTCTACCACTGTGAAAGATTTTCTAACACTGGTATTCTGAAAATGCCTTAGATGGGTCATCATATTTACTCAGGGGCATGTTACAACACACTGATTTCTTTCTGTACCACATATGTTACAAACATTATTGAAGAACTTTTAAAAAAATTTTAATTTCCCATAGTCTTTTCCCCATTACTTCTGAATACTTTAGGTGGTAGTATGATTCTTGCTCAGCTTGCACCCAGAGATTTTATGATAAAATGTCAGAACTGAAAAAGGAAATAATTATTTCTTGAACATTTTCAAGATGGTCTCTTTGCCCACCAATGGAAAATAATCTATAATGTTCCAAAAATGTAAGAGCTTCTGTATTATTATCAACATTCTGCATTATTATCTAGTCCTGGATCCAGCCTCTGGGATTGAGAATTAAACAATAACTTTATGTTAAGCATGTATTATTAAACACAGTATTTCCTTTTATTCAGTGCCATAGAAGGAAATATGGGCAGCTAGTCAAGCTTGGAAGACATAATGTACTATTTTCAAACAATTGCTGCTTCTAAATCTATTATTTAAAGGTATTTCTCCGCATGTATTTACATTCCAGTTCAGACTGTTCTGCTGTTTTTCTTCAACTTTTCAACCAGTTAAAGTAACTGTTTTTACATGGTCTTATGCCTGTTTAATCTTTATTTCATCCAACCTTACTTGCTTTGTTAGAATTGAAATATTTGACATTTTCAAATTCAAATGTCTTAATGTTTATTTGACTTGAAGTAAGTATATTATGGTACAAATAGAAGTAGTTTAGCCATCTAGCAGTTCCATTACTTGACTTTCTATAAGGGTTTTGTTCCTCTACTTCTACAAGTGGCAGTAGAGATTATGACCACATTTTCCCACACTATGGACTTCACCTCTCCAAACATTTTTCAGATTCTTTTTGTCCTTCTTCTCAGGTGCTTAATTACAGGCACCATTCTTTTTCTATTAAGTAACATGGAACTGTGGGGAAAAAAAAGAGGAGTTAAAGTGTTAATGCTCCAATTCCAGTTACTTATCCCTATATATTATGGAAGTCAAGGCATCTGGCCCTTCCAGGTGGGGCGGTCACTTACTGCTTTGCAGTGGGTGCTGGAGGGTGCTTTCCTAGCCATTCCAAGCTTCTCGGGTTTGAGTTGGTCTCAGGAACTCTCTCCCTCCTATTTTATTTGATTTATTAGTCTCAATTTCAATTAAATTGTATTATATTGTGTTATCTTGGATACCGATATCATAGTTAGTAAAATAAGTTTTCCTCCATAGATTGTTGCTGCTGTTTTTTTTCCTTCCTTGAGCCCAGCTCCCATCTCCCTATCCCTCTTCCCTTTCCCTTCCCATTTTGTGGGGGTGGGGGTGGGTGCCCAGGGGCCTACTGGCCCCCTGTCATGGGCATAGATTGATCTAGTTAACTCCGTGACAATTTCAAACTTGGCAGGCACGCTGCCTCAAAATACCATCAATCTGGTGATTAATGAATAACAATTTCTTTCTGTACTGAGATCAGCTTGCCCCTCAAAATGCCTTTGGAATTCAGTGGCTGTACTTTGCTCTCAGAGATACAGGATTCCAACTCACTCCTGCTCCAAGACAGGTCCTACTCCAGTCTGACATAGTGTCAAACACTGGTGCTACTAATGACAACTCTTCACAGCAGCTATAGATGCATGAAAGGCTGTGCATTTTCTTGTATGTTCTTCAGAAGAGTAGAGTATAGCAAGTGAGTTAACTAGAGAAAATTCACAATTTTTATTTAAGTACGCTACAGTTTTATCACTGGGACAATTATTTTGGAAGATAAATGGCTAAAGTTTGGTTAAACAAAGCCATGTGTTATCAAATGAATTCATACTGTTTTACAAATGTGTTTTTCAGATGTTGACATCTGTCTTTCCTTGTTTCAGACAATAATACAATTTGGGTTAGCAGTAGATGTTAAGGTATATGCTATTTAGATCTGAGAAAAATGATACTGAAGTGGTATTCTAGATGTCGATTCCTAAAAGTAAAAATTAATTTCTTAATAGATCTTATTTAAAAATATGTTTGAAAGATATCTTTCCCTTTCAGTTTCAAATTTTATCAAATCAGAATTAGAAGCTTCTCAGCTTTTTCCTTAAAACTCAGTAATAAAAGCTTAATTTGAGTTTAAACTAGAAATAATTCTTAAAAATAATTTGTTGTATTACATAAAATTCCAGTTTCCAGTGAATTTTTATCAAGGTACACAAAACAAGCTTTAAAAAGAATAGCAAGAAAGGAGAGAAATTAAACCACTAGTCCATCTAAACGGTAATAGTTTTAGCCTGGGAAAATTAGCATGCATAGGTAGAGTGCAGATTCATTTCTACATTTGTTTAAGTTCAAGTTCACAGGCACTTACATGTACATTCAGATTGATGACTCATCAAGCATTTCCATCCTGCCAAGTATGTTGGGAAAGCTGGGATGAAAATAACTGAAGTATGGCTGAAAAAAAGGTGTATTTTTTGTACTATGTGGACATAATTGTGCACAGATTTGTTTCTGTGTCTTGGGAACTGCTGTCTTTAGAAGCATGAAATGCACATGTTTTCCACTCAGTTGATTCATGAACACACTTGTTCATAAATTCAGCGTAGTGAAATTGCTGTATACTCATGCAGGCGTCTCATTATTTTGGATTATAACGTATGGTTCCATACCATAGCCTACATATTCCAGACTGCACAAAGCTTCTGCAGTAGGCAACTATAAGTTACAGTAAGATAAGAGTAAAAAGTTCCAATAACTTACTTTAGGAGGGTAGCCAGTTTTTAGCTTACACAGTGCTTATTCACAAATATTTCAGCTGAAGGTGTGCCAACTGAAGAAGATTTATCCTCTTGTCACTGCCTAATGTCTCCCTGCTGGAAGTCAGGTGTCTGTACAGGTCCTCTCTGACCTATTTCAGTGAAAATGAATGATGTGAGCTTATGCAGTGACTTGTACGTTTCCCTCACTGATTGATTTGGGTGAGTTTGAAGGAGCTAGCAGCTTGCTGGAGAGCAAGCCCTCCATGCCTCCAGCAAAGCAAAACAAGGAAAAGAGAAGGAAAACTGAATGTGCTGAATTCAGCTAGATTCAGCTAGATTCTGGTGTCACCATGAGCTAATTATGAGACTAATGTAAAGCCCAAGGAATAGCTAGCTACCTTCAGCTGTATGACTGCATAGCATTTTGCAGGGTTATACAAGCCAGATTTAGACTAGCTGTGGCAAAGGTAGGTGCATGTGAACCCAGGGGAACATGAGCTTAGAGTCTGTGCAAGTTCACATCCCAGTGCCTGATTGCTGTGTATATGGGCCAGGGACATCATATCTGCTCCCAGTCAAGCATTTTGACATAGTTTAAGTCACTTAACATGAGCACAACAGTAACTGGATGCCATTCACTGTTCCCATTCACAATTAATAAGCTTTCTCAGAGATCAAGAGCTATTTAGTGAGCATAGTAAAACACTGTACAAAATTCCTCTTTCATTTTGTTTTTAATAACTATGCTAAACAAACTAAGCTTTCTAGCAGTCTTTCAGTGAGAAATACAGAACAGCCTGACTGGGAGTTTCCTGCAATTTTTCAGTATCTTCTGATACAATCAGCTTTAGGAACCAAATGGTGGGAATCCTTCCATTCTGTAGGCTAGCATATAGAATTCTCATCTACAGAAGATATACCACAAGCAGAGTGAATGTCTACAAATGACTGTTTATCAGGTTTCCCTGATAAATTCTGAAATATGCTTTTGAACTAGAGACATTTCGTCCACCCATATACTAAAACTACGGACACTGATATAAACTGTAAAGCATTTTGTGGGTGACTAATTATACTGTTTAATACAAAAACATTAAATCAGGTATATGGGGTGGATTCTGTAGTTTGAACAACGAAGTGCAGTTTATAGTGAAGACTGGGACCCTAGGCTCATCAAAATCAAGAGAAAAACTCTGTTGACTTCAGTAGGCTGAGTACTTAATATTTCTAATTTCCAAGTGAAGGGTTAAAAGCAAAATTATCACATTCTTCAGATTTTATTTTTTTTTTATCCTATTGTACCATGTAAGAACGTAAAAATGTTCATAGATTGGTGAAAAGAAAGATTGAATACAGATGAGTGAAAATCACTATGTACGTAGGAAGCCCTATAATTTTGCCTGTAGAACTTTTGTACACAGTTTGAAATGATAGGCATTACTAGTACGGAATGCAGTTTTTGCCACAAAGGTGTTAGACAAGCTGCAGTACTGAGAATCTTGAATAGTTTGTCCATGTAGCATTTCTCTTCTTAGCTCTTAGAAATGGAGAGTGATGCTCCTATCAGGTTATACCATAAAAAGTGATTCAGTAATCACAGAACCATAGAATAAATCATAAAATCACTCAGGTTGGAAAAGACCTTGCAGATCATCAAGTCCAACCACAACCTAACCATACTAACTCTAACAACCCTCCATTAAATCATGTCCTTGTGCACCACATCCAAATGGTATTTAAACACATCCAGGGATGGTGACTCAACCACCTCCCTGGGGAGCCTATTCCAGTGCTTAACCACCCTTTCTGTAAAGAAGTTTTTCCTGATATCCAACCTAAACTTACCCTGGCACAACTTAAGGCCATTTCCCCTCATCCTGTCACCTGTCACCAGTGAGAAGAGACCAACTCTGCTCTTGCTGTAAGCTCCTTTCAGATATCGTAAGAGAGCAATAAGGTCTTCCCTTAGCCTCCTTTTCCCCAGACTGAACAGTCGCAGTTCCTTCAGTCTTTCTTCACAGGGCATATTCTCCAAACCCTTCACATGCCTTGTTGCCCTTCTTTGGATCTGCTGCAGCACCTCAATGTCCTTTCTGCATTGAGGTGCCCAAAACTGAACACAGTACTCACTGATTTCGAAAATGAAATAGCTGAGACATAAAGGTTGTTTATAATTAAGTTGTTGCCATTTGATTCTAAATGACACTCCAGAAATATAAACTATTTTTGTGTTGTCTTTCAAAAAATGTTGTCCAATAGACCAATTGACATAAATATAAACTTTTTTTTTTTTTTAGTAAAGGTGTGGTCCTGTTTTAATCCCCCTAACTATAAACATCTCAAATGAAACTGTGAAAATTCTAGACCGCTAATAATATGATGTGTGTTCCCACAACAAACAACCATAAAATAACACCTGTATGAATTTTCAGCCACAACACTGAATCATTTGGCAGGAGATCAGATAGAACAGCATTGTTTGGATTGCTATTCATTTATGTGCTGCCAAAATACATTATATTGCTTTTAAAATGTATCATGCTGATTATCACTTCTAAAGAATACTGCATCTCTACAGATGATGAGCTTCACAGTCCCTGTCAAAAATCAACCCTTGCATCGTTAGTATTATCTCTCATAGGTTTTGAAACACATGAAACTTTGGAAAAATGTGACTACTATTATTTAAGTGATAGTTACTGTTGGTCTGAAATCCAGTAAGCTCAACCGAAACAATGCCAACAATGCCAAAAAATGGAAATTTGTCATGCCATTTTTTAGTTTTCCAGAAGATCATGGGTCTGTGAGATAGGTGCTTTGTATCAACAGCTGGTTTATCGGTGCATTTTTAGTGCAGCCCAGAAATCTCTTTCCGAATAAGCAAGATCCTTATGCATATAAATGGACTTGTTTTATTTTGTATGATTGAAATCATATGTGGGAATTAGTCTTTCAGTGAACCGAGCCTTCAAATTTCATAGAATCATAGAATCATAGAATCACAAGGTTGGAAACAACCTATAAGATCATCTAGTCCAACCATCTTCTCATTACCATTGCTACCACAAATTAAAATATATCTCGTAGCTCCTCATCCAGACGCCTCTTGAACACTGCCAGGGACGGCGACTCCACCACCTCCCTGGGCAGGCCATTCCAGTGCCTGACCACTCTCTGAGAGAAAAAGTTTTTCCTCATGTCCAACCTAAACCTCCTCTGGTACAACTTGCGGCCATTTCCCTGTTTGTCCTGTTCGTTGCCTGGGAGAAGAGGCCAAACCCCTCATCATCACAACCTCCCTTCAGGAAGTTATAGAGTGCAATGAGGTCTCCCCTGAGCCTCCTCTTCTCCAGACTAAACAATCCCAGCTCCCTCAGCCGTTCCTCATAAGATTTGTGCTCCAGACCCCTCACCAGTTCTGTTGCTCTTCTCTGGACACGTTCCAGGGCCTCAATGTCTTTCTTGTAGTGAGGGGCCCAAAACTGAACACAGTACTCGAGGTGCAGCCTCACCAGTGCTGAGTACAGGGGCATGATTACCTCCCTGCTCTCGCTGGCCACACTATTTCTAATGCAGGCCAGGATGCCATTGGCCCTTTTGGCCACCTGGGCACACTGTCGGCTCATGTTCAGCTGAGCATCAACCGACACCCCCAGGTCCCTTTCCTCTTCACAGTCATCCAGCCACTCGTCCACAAGCCTATAATGCTGGATGGGGTTGTTGTGGCCAAAGTGCAGGACCTGACACTTGGCCTTGTTGAACCTCATTCCATTCATCTCAGCCCAGGGATCCACCTTACCTAGATCCCTCTGCAGGGCCTCCCTATCCTCAGGCAGATCAACACCACCTCCCAGCTTGGTGTCATCTGCAAACTTACTGAGGGTACACTCAATCCCCTCATTTAGGTCATCAGTAACGATATTGAACAAGATGGGTCCCAGTACTGACACCTGGGGGACACCACTTAGAACAGGTCACCAGCTGGACTTAACTCCATTAACCACTACCCGTTGGGCATGGCCCTCTAGCCAGTTCCTTACCCAAAGAAGGGTATACCTGTCCAGGTCATGGGCAGCCAGTTTCCGCAGAAGAATCCTGTGAGAGACCGTGTCAAAGGCTTTGCTGGAGTCTAGGTAGACTACATCAACAGCCTTTCCCTCATCTACCAGTTTGGTCACTCAGTCATAGAAGGAGATGAGGTTGGTCAAGCATGACCTGCCTTTCATGAACCCGTGCTTGCGGGGCCTGATCCCCTGGACACCACGCACATGCTGTGTGATCTCACCCAAAATCATTTGCTCCATGATTTTCCCCAGTACCAAAATCAGGCTGACAGGTCTATAATTCCCCAGATCCTCCTTACGGCCCTTCTTGAAGATAGAAGTCACATCAGCAAGCTTCCAATCCTCTGGGATCTCTCCAGTTAACCAGGAGTGCTGATAGCTGGCCGAGAGCAGCTCAGCAATCACCCTTGCCAGCTCCCTCAGCACCTGAGGGTGTAGGCTGTCTGGTCCCATGGATTTGTGACAGTCCAGGTGGAGGAGGAGCTCTCTGACTGTCTCCCGAATCGCTGGAGGTATATTCTGAGAATCATCCCAGACTTCCAGATCATAAAAAGCCTGGAGAATAACTAGTCTGGCTATCAAAGGCAGATGCAAAGAAGGCGTTGAGGACCTCAGCCTTCTCCTTATCCTCAGTGGCCACATTCCCTGATGCATCACGTATAGGATGAAAATTCTCCCTGGTTCTTCTTTTACCACTGATATATTTATAATAGGATTTTTTATTCTCTTTTACTGCAGTGGCCAATCTGAGTTCAGGTTGGGCTTTCGCCTTCCTAATTTCCTCCCTGCATACCTTAGCTACTTTCTTGTAATCTTCCCTAGTAGCCTGTCCCTTCTTCCAGAGGACATAGACTCTCTTTTTCTTCCGGAGTCTCAACAGTAGTTCCTGGCTCATCCACACTGGTCATCTTCCCCTATGGCTTGCTTTACGGCACTTGGGGACAGCCTGTTCTCGCGCCTTTAAGATTTCCATCTTGAGGAGTTTCCAGGCTTCCTGGACCCCTTTACCCTTAAGAAGAGAGTCCCAAGGGGCCCGTGCTACAAGCATCCTAAATAGATCAAAAAATCCACCCTCTGGAAGTTCA